AAGAAGGGAAGTAGGAAAGATAGAAGATGTAAAAGGAAGGAGGGAGAGGGAGGGTGAGGAGGAGGAGGGAAAAGGAGAAGGAGGAGGGAAGAGGAGGGAAGAGGAAGAGCAAAAGGGAATAGATGGGAGGAGGAAGAGGAGAGGGGAGGAAGAGGAAGGGGGGAAGAAAAGTAAAGGAGGAGGAGGAAGAGGGGCAAGAGGAAAGAAGAGGAAGAGGAGGAGGAGGAGAGAGAAGGAAAAAGAAGAGGGAGGAGGAGGAAGAGGTAGAGAGAAAAGAATGCGTGAGGTCTCGCGGCAGCACTTGCTTCACCACACTATAATCCCTGCCGCAAAAGCCTACGCAAGAGAACAGGGCAGGGTCTCTCCACACACCTTACTCTGAGGTTGGATGTATGCCAGAACATGGAGAAATAAAGATAAGACACTTCTTCCTACCATGTCTGGAAATTCGAGATGTGAACATTGCCCTTTCTTATTTAGTTCACCTACTGATAAACTATCACAGTATTAGCATTACTCTAGCTAAAATATGCCATCTCAGTATCAAGCTTTTTTATTTTTTATTTTTTTCTGCACATATGAAATTTACTATATATATATCTATTATATATATATGAATTTGGTATTTACAAAATAAAAAATATCCAAGCATCTTTGCAAAGCATTTCAAAAATTACAAATGTGCTTAAAATAGATATGATGATATTGCTTCAAAGTGAAGATGATGATGATGAAGAAGCCTTGGCATGTTGAGAAGACCATGCCCGAAATTTGAGCCATACAAGAATTATTATGCAAATGTTCGATAAGAATTCAATAAACACAGCACCTCAAGTACATGAGAGGCAGGAGGGCAGCACATCAGTGGGCTGAGGAAGGAATAAGGGTGTGTTTCAAAAAGAAATCCTCAATTTGACAAAACAGCACATCCCAAAATCTTGCTATTTAGATGCAAGAAGTCTCTCTTCCCTTTTTTTAAATTATCATATTCCATGCAAAGTGTAAATACTACTTGTCTGTCTGAGGTTATATTCTTATCTCAAATTAGACCTGTAGAGAATGTTACACAATATGCTCTTTTTAATCTAAATCCAGACAGTAGAGAAAAAAAAAGGAAAATTCCTTAACAGAATGAACAAGTGCTATTCAAAATGGTCAACCTACTAATGATTTATCAATGCTATTGCCATACCAGCTCTTCACAACTTTAACTAATCAAACTAATGACGACAATACACAAAACACAGTACCCAAATTGTTGCATACAGAACACCTGTCTTCTGACAGCACTACACCATCTACATGTTCCGTGAGCAGCTGTGGAAATGACATCACGAAGAGGCAAACCCACAAGAAATCCACCACACCACTGAAATGCCGCAGTTGAAACCACATTCACCATAGCCAAGAAGGCAAATATGCCCAGTCGACTTTGCCTGGTAATGGGCATTTCTCAATCTGATATCACCACTAAAGAAGCAATGGGTATATGCTCAGTGCGAAGTGTCTGACCATGTGGACAGAGCCTTGATCAGGAATCCCATAGTTACTTTCCTCAAAAGAAAAACAGACCCTTAGGAGCCTGTAGAGCCAAAACAAAGACCAAGAACTATCCCCAGCCCATGAGTATCAACAGCTAAGATAACGAAGCTTTGCTACACACACTTTAGATTCCTTAGAGAGCAGTCTTTTAAAAGTATGGGGGATAGCATTCAACGATCAATTTATGCGTGATTATTTGCCACTTCACCATTTACGGTATAGTTAATGGCAACGTTCTGGGATAATGTGATGAAAACAACACTTTGCTGTGTTTTTACCCAAAAACCAAGATGTCAGAGTAGTTCCGTTTAAGTAGAATACGCAAGCAAAAAAAGGAAAGAAATGAGAAAGATTAAAGAAGATGAATTCAATGATACTGAGATATCAAAAGATCTTTAAGTTGGCTCTTAAGTTCAAAATCTTACATTAGCATTTTCTTGCCAATAACTCCTTTGATGTACTGTAATGACCTTAAGATAAAGTATACAATATTCTGTATCAAAACTGTTTTGAGCTTTTGAATTGTGCAAAGACAACTTTTACTAGATCAACCAATAATCTTTCTTTTCTGAATGATGAAGATAGCTTTTACATATTGTAAGTACAATTTTCCTTTGAATGTAAACAATTTTTTCCAGCTAACATGATGTCAAGTGGTAACAAATACTAGTCAAGTTTCAATAATTCTACTTTATAAAAAAATATACCTATTTATCATATATTCTCAAACTGGAAAAAGAAAAAAAAAATCATATATAATATTTAAAAGAGAAACTACTGACAATTTTCACACTCAACTTGACACACTGTGAAGACATGAAAATCAGCTGTGTGAAATCTAGAATCATATTTGTTGCCGGCTTATTCCAAGGCATTTGAGAATCTAACTTCCATTACCACTGACCTATTATTTCTAACAGTAAACCAGTCGAGGAAATTTCACACAAGGTCACCTACATCACTTCTCAATAATTATCATAATTCATCATAATTTCTATCCTGATTATATGCATCATGTTGCAGTAATGACAAGACATAAAAGAAAACTTGCATCCATTTTTGCTTTCAACAACACATAATGACAAATACAATGACTAAATATCCTATTTTGAAAGGGAAATAAAATCTGCCAATTTCAGAACTTAATTTACAGTAAAAATAATGGCTCTCTGATGGAACACAAATCAGTATACAACCATAATGTCAAAAATATAAATAAATAACAAGTGTCAATGCAAAACCTATATAAAATATGAAAAATTTGGACATATAACCTATCTATGGAAAAAAGGTAAAATAAAAACCCTGTATATAAAGATATAATTGATCAATTCTGTAAGACTGGATGAATACATAGTAAATTTTAAAATTTCTTTGATTTATTTTTTTTGTGTGGTTATTTATGTATTAGCTTATTAGTAAACACACGTGCACACTATGTACACATCAAAATACATAACTGTGCATATGAGCTTACTACAGTATACATTTTTGTACATGGGTTTAAATAAGTATCTATTTTAAAAATACAAAAAGAATGATACACCCATAGAAAAAACACATACACATATAACAATATTCTAACATCTCACCAGCTGCAGTTAACATGCTTCCAATGATGAATGGAGTGTATTCAATATCAACATTTAAAAAAATCTTTACAAATAATGACAATCACTGGGTTTCATTATACAAAAGAAACACTACTATTAAGTTTTACTGCTGCCTTTCATAACCACATTTTGGTTAATAGTATCATTTCAGAACAGCTCTTTGATTTTAATTGCTTGTAATTGCAAATAAAATTTCTGGAGGTTTAGTGTGCTTAGGTTAACCATTACCAAAATCACCATCTTGTGATGTTTATATATGAGATATCTCTATACCTAGATGCACAGTGAGGCAGAGGAATGTACCTCACGCAATATTGTAGCCTACCACCTGTTGCAACTATAATTTTGATACGAAACTTAATTCTAACAGTCTGCACTGCCATCCATGAAATTGCGAAAATGAGGGGCATTGAAAAAAAAATTTGGTAACATAAATTCATCCTGAGAAAAAACTGTCACTATTTCTTTTTTTTTGTATTTATGAATTTTGTTAAAGCAATGGTCCACATGCACCAATCCCTATAAACAATAAAGCAAAAATTTTATATATATATATATATTGTATATATAAACTCAAACTGTTAATTTGTTAATTAATAGCTAAAGATCTATGCTTCCAAATGTCTGGATTAGTGATGTTATTTCAAGGCGAATTATCAGCAAACATTCTGCACAGTTCATTATGAGAGACACATTATTCAAATAAAAATACAAACAGATTTCTAAAAAAATATCAATACGATTTGTAATCTGTTTCAACACACAACAGACAGATACTCATTTCTTCTCTTATTCTACTTCCACTGTTTGCTAGATTTCATTGAAGAAAAGCAAATCATAGTATACACAGTGATATCAAAGAAGCTAAGACAATAATAATGATAGTAATTAGAAAAAAAAAGGAAAAAGAAAATATCCCAACAACTCCTTCTACAATTTCACTCGAGACTTGATTCGCGGACTATCACAATTATATACTATGTATGGACATCATAGATGATAACGTGCTTTGTTCTCTTTCTGTTTCTCATGTCCGTATTTTTTTTTTTCTTCAGTAATATTTCTCGAATCAACCACCTTTTCTTCAAGTGAGCCTTGCTTGAACAGTGAGACACATCTTGCACGTTTTCTTGGTAATTTTTCTGTTGAACGGCAAAATCCTTTCACACCTACAAAAAGTAAAAAACCTTATAATATTTCTCGAATCAACCACCTTTTCTTCAAGTGAGCCTTGCTTGAACAGTGAGACACATCTTGCACGTTTTCTTGGTAATTTTTCTGTTGAACGGCAAAATCCTTTCACACCTACAAAAAGTAAAAAACCCTTATCTTAATATATTCTACATTCTGACGGTGCCTAAAGTAGTAAAATATCTAATCTCTTACAAAAGTTTGAATTCATTATTTTCAATTTTTTTTGTTTTTGTTTTGTTTTTTGTTCACTGAGAAGCTTTGGCTTAATTCATTAATATTTATATGATAGGATGACATTTCCTTTTTTTTTTTTTTCTTCAGTAATATTTCTCGAATCAACCACCTTTTCTTCAAGTGAGCCTTGCTTGAACAGTGAGACACATCTTGCACGTTTTCTTGGTAATTTTTCTGTTGAACGGCAAAATCCTTTCACACCTACAAAAAGTAAAAAACCCTTATCTTAATATATTCTACATTCTGACGGTGCCTAAAGTAGTAAAAACCCTTATCTTAATATATTCTACATTCTGACGGTGCCTAAAGTAGTAAAATATCTAATCTCTTACAAAAGTTTGAATTCATTATTTTCAATTTTTTTTGTTTTTGTTTTGTTTTTTGTTCACTGAGAAGCTTTGGCTTAATTCATTAATATTTATATGATAGGATGACATTTCCTTTTTTTTTCTTTTTTAAATATCATTTTAGTTGTTTTCTTAACCGTTTTTTTCTGCTTTTCTCTGTCTTTCTCCCTTTTCTCCTCTTTTTCCAACTTCGTATTTAAGTTATAAAATGATTTTCAGTACTATCCAGGCATCACTTGTTAGAATCCTTTTTCCATTCAAAAGACTTGCTTTCTCTTATTCTATTTTGTGCTACATCCCTTTCTTTCTCCATTTCTCTCCCTATACATAAATATATCTCTCTCTTTCCTATACATCTATTCTCTATATTTGTGCCATGTTCCATCGTTCGACACTCTTTTCCGAATGAAAACCTAAACCACCAATTTCTCTCTCTCTCTCCCAGCCGCCTTCGCCTCCCTTCCTCCTCTCCGACTTCACTCTCTCTTCTGTGCCCACTTGAAGTCGTCTGCTCGGGGTTTGCAGCCGGTGACCTTCTCAATCAAGTACTCTAACGAGATCCAGAACTTGAGCTTCTCTAAGGGGTAGTTGAGCCATCCGGTCGTTATGCAGAAGTAAGTCTCGTGTGGTGCGACGTGGTGGATGCGGTGATGCCTCTTTGGCAGGATGATGTGCAGGTCCTGCGAATGATTTTATGGTCTTAGTGCACTTTGGCCATGAGGCACAGCTGAAGGAACTGCAAACAATGTCTAAATATGTGTGTGAAGTTGTGTGCTTGTGCCACAGAGGGACAACTGATCAGTCATGGGTTTATTTTTTTCTTTTCATGTGAGTAACCAGGATTGATATGAAATAAATATCGAGAAAGTGTAATGACTAACAACCTGACAAAAAAGTAATTATATCTATCTATTTAACCAAACATATTCATGGTCTGAGGTTTCTTCTAACCTTACATTTTCAATATATATATATATATATATATATATATATATATATATATATATATATATATATATATATATATATATATATATATATATATATAAACTCTCTCTGTATCTGTCTCTCTGTCTGTCTTTCTCTCTGCTTTGCACTGATTTGCTTTGAACATAACATATGTAATGACATCTAATATATCTGAAACTATCTGGCATATTGGCTCCTTTCTGTTGTGAAGGGAAAGTAGTTAGTGTGTAATAGTAAATTTGCTACAGTATTGCACATTTTGTCCAACCAAACTTCTCTTCCTTTCCCCTCCTTCATTCATTCTCCAATATTCTAAAAAAAAAAAAAAAGAGAAGAAGAAATATATAAAATAAATTTCGCTAATAATGTACTCCAAAATGTTTTAAACATTTTATCTACATGTATTAGCATATGCGGAAAAGTTGGGAATGTAATTTAAATTTGATTTTACATCTGTCTCTGGACTATCAAAACATCAATTACTCTGCACTGTGGAACTCTATACTTGTCACAATCAACTTTTGTTCATAATTTTAGTTCTCTGCAAATATACACTAATAACAACATGGACATGATAATACAAACAGAACAATGATCAACGGACATACCTGCAATATGGTGACCCAGCGTGGGAGGCCGAAGTATGTGTGTGACCATTTGTGGATCTGTGGAGTAATTGAGACACTTCAATCTATTTGTATAGAATGCTAATATCCTTCAAAATTTCCATCGGTGAATGAAATCTTAAAGGATAAACAGTGATCTGCAAAGACTAGACCTAATCTCTATCAGAGTGAGCTGTCCTGTAATAGTAAAAAAGTACTGCCGTGCTGCAGTTGTCTAATAAGAAGCCATGAATAAATCTATCTGTGATAACTAGGCATGGAAACGTTTTATTTTATTACAATACCTTTAGCAAGATCAGAAATAAGGTCATTGTTTCCGATAACAGGACATTTATAAACTAAGACATCTCTATTGCATTCTAATACTAAATAATCCCATTTCTACTTGCTAATGTATGGATTCAACATTTTGATGAGATCCATGTACTACTAACTCTGAATGATACTACTAAAGGACAGATTTTTTTTGTGTAAACAGATGAGTAGCAATCCATCAGAAATAAAAGGATCAAATCATATAAACTATGTCTGTTCAATTGATAAAATCCAGCCAATATACCATTTCAAAAAGGAACATTATGTGTTTGCATTTGAAAACAAGCTCCTCTGGTTGGTTCATCAAACCCGCTGTGGAACTAAATCCTCTTAAAGCACTATTGTAAGCTAGTAACCAAGAGTACCAATGAACAGAGCTTCTTTAGTAATACTTAATAATAATAATGATAATAATGACGAAAATAATAATAGTAATAGAAGCAATAAACATAATAATATTAATAACAATAATAAAGGGAATCCTTGATATGCATATTTGAGAGAAATAGTGTATGGCCTCAAAGGGGATGACATAGTCCCATAACTAATCTACAGCAGATTTTTTTCTGCTATAGACTGATACACGTTTCTAGGTGAATGTGCATTCGCCTGCTCCAGTAAAAAATTAGATGCACAAGAACCCATATTCACCCAGGTTTATGCACATTTGGCCTTGGCAAAATCAATATCCCTGGAACTGAGGCTAAAACAAAACTTTAAATCCACTTCTGAAGGACTTTAGCCCCTGAACGGGACCCCCATTGCCAAGTAAGCGAACAACTGCTTGGGGTGCATAACTTGGAGTAGGCTGACCTCATGTGGCTGGTATCCTTCACAACCAACATTCATTTGTACTTGGTTTGTTTTCACAAGAATGGACAGACATCACTGATATCAAGTTCATTCAAAACCAAGTTATGCATATTTGTAATTCTTTCCTTATTAATTCATATAATGTTACTTCTAATTAATATTGTTCAGAATGTTCCTTCCATCATCTATGTATATAAAGATATGCATGGACAATATCTGTTTCCAGTTATGTAATAAACTGATTATTTTGGAATATATCTTATATATAAATAAAACTAGACATCTATAAAATTTAGAGCTAATCAATTGTCAAAATTTATTCTAGAAAATTTCACAGTGGTCACAAAATATAAAAAATATTATGAAATAAATCTACTGTTTTAATTTCAATGTAATAATTACATTGACAAGCTGAGTTTAATCATCATTTATGAATTGAAATACCATGCAAATGTAATGTTCTTATGCAAGTAAGGCAATATGTAATATAATAATTTCTATTCTTTAAGTTACCATATCAAACATACTTTTCTGTTGTGTTAATAAGCCTATGATCTGGATGGTATGCCATCACCCTACGAAAAATTTTGACTCAACCCCTTAGATCCGGCTGCATCTCAGCAATCACATCACCAAATATCTGGGCATTAGGCTTATCTGAGTGGGCGCTCTGCTGGGTGTACAGCTTGTAGGTTAGCACACACGGGCATGTGAGTTCAGTGACAAGACTCTATGCCTCCTATTAGCAATGTTATTTCCTCTTTTTTATGCATAAGTGTATTTAGCCTTTTTGCCATTTTCCATTGTCTAGCTTTGTCATTTGATTTCTATTATCCAGGCGGCAATAGACTGTTTTCTTTGCACATACTCCACATCATCTCTCTAAGCAATCTGTACCTTAGTGTTATATGTCATTAAATTTTCCATACTACAACCTGCATTGCCAATCACAGCACCAGGAATACATTGGAGTATGAAAGTGGTATCCTCCATGGAGCCTGTGCTCTTCCAGTCATGGCTCACCCACATTACATTCCACACTCATTTACTAAAGGGAATAATGCAAAATTGCCAAATGAGTCTAATCATCTTCCCAAGAGGTTTGAGGATCCATGGTGATCTCTCCCATCATCCCAGCCTTCACCCGAAACACTCACAGCGGCAAGTACATGTCACCCAGCCTGCAGCCAGATTTTCCCATGATGGCTTGTTCATGTCACCTGCCCCTTTAGCCAGATTATTTCATGACAAGATGGACATATCATCCGATTGAAAGGGTTAAGGGGAGGGTGACACAAAAATACCATCACGGGAAAAGTCCTCAGTGAGCCGGGGAGAAAAGTTTGGCTGATGACTAGGATGATGAGAAAGTTCTTGGAAGGTGATTAGACTCAGTGGGCATTTAGGAAGTGGCTTTTATGTGATTTCCATCGATTAGCAAGTGAGGAATGTACCATCCATGTGACATGACTGGAAGAGCAGTGGCTCCTGGGAAGAAGCTATTCTTGCTCAACCATAATTGGCAGCATAGGTAGAATATTATGGAAAAAAAGATACAAATAAGAAAGTGTTACTTATTGTTATTATTCTTACACTGAGTTATGGACTGCCTAGAGAAGTGATATGGAGTCTGTACATGGAAAACCGTCTACTACCCTCTGGATACAGCAAATCATATGATGAATATAGACACTGGAAAATGGCAAAAAAACTAGAAACCCCTTATGTAGAAAAAGAGAAAATAATATTGCAAAGGGGAGTCATGCAATCTTGTCACTGCCTATGAGAGTTCATGTGCGCCTGGCCTAAAAGCCGCACACCTGCCAGAGTGGCCGTTCTTGTAAGCCTAATGCCCATAATATTGACCAATGGATTAAGTATATCTATTCAAAATGTTTTTGTAAGCCACAAATTCACATGATCAGTGAAAAAAAAGGGTTGCTTTTTCATACCCATTCACAGACAATGCTACCTGTCTTAAAAAATACCAAATACTAATAGGTGACTGACCAATAAGAGATTCAAGTTTTCCAATGTAAAAAAATCAGCTCTGATGAAAAAGCTGCTTTTATAATAGGTATGATAAACCATCCTGTAGAAAATAAAAATGTCTGGCTGTGGGGAAAAAACAAATCATCACCTTGTGACTATATTATAATTCCATTTCCAATTCACCCACACCCACGCACACAAACACACACACACACACACGCACACACGCACACACACACACACACATACCCCTCCCCACACACATACACACCCACGCCCACACGCCCCACACACACTTTGCAATCTCTCACCTGATTCGTTAAAGACACAAAAATCGCCAAGAGATACAGGTACGAGAACCAATAGTAATTGGCCTGGATCTGCTCGTTGGTCTTGGTGCAGAAGTTCCAGGTCATGGACATCAGACCCGGGAGCGTGAGCATGAAGTTGTCCCCGTTGGTTTCTATGAAGTCGTGGCGCGTGATTGACGTGGGGTCGATGTGGTGCTCACGGAAGGGACGAATGAAGTTCTGAAAGAGAGATATGATAAAGGCAATCGACTCTTTAAACAGGAGGAACAAATTCATAACAAGTAGCGTTTAATCGTGTCTAATGCATTTTGTGAATAGCTGAATAGTGAATGATGTGAATAATGGGAAAATTATATATTTCTTTAACCCATTCGCCCAATGTGGCAAGAATACATGCCATGCCCACTGTAATATACGTTTATTTATTGTATTTACACATAGATGGCTCCACAATTTCTTAATCACCAAATAGCCAGTTATCAAGAAATACCTATTTCACCTGTTTACCCTTTTCCTTCACTTTAGGAAAGGTTTTTTTTGTATCATTTCATTGTCTAAAATATTTTAATGACAATTTAGTAATCATGACATCATTAACAATAATAACAGTATCGATAGCAATGGTATTAATTTTCCCGCCAATTCAATGAATGGGAAAATCAGGGTCGGTAACCAGGGCCTACTGATAGACTCCTTGCCGGCTGAGCACATGTGGAGTCATCTGTATGGAACAAAATTCACCAAAAACTACAGGGGACAGATCATAAATCTGGGGCGAATGGGTTAATCATGTCTAATGCATTTTGAAATTGCTGAATAATGAATGATGTGAATAATGCGAAAAATGTATATTTCTTTAAAAAAAATAAAAACAGGAAATGGTTAGGAAAGACATCTAATAATCATAATGAAAGCATCTGTACCAACAGAGAAGGTCCTTTAGTAGTTAGATTACCTATTATATGATAAAGACAGATAATTATTGATGTTTTCAAACACATACAAAAATTATGTCCACGTTTTAATGAAAAAAGTACTTTCCCTCATCATATAATTATTTTATCTGTACTCTTATTCGTAAAATATTTAAAGTTGAAAAATCTTGACCGTGACACTGCTGATTATAAATAAGAATAAGAACAAATAAATGCAAAAAACACAGCAGAGGTTTCAATATTGCACACTCATCAGAATAACATAATTCTGAAGAAGATATACTGTAACATAATATAATCATTGAACAAACACTCTTTCCCTATATGTCACAATGAAGCCATATACTTGCCTTCTCTTGTATTTTCTACTGTCAAAGACTTCTGACACATTTGATTTTTAATAGCTCTCCGGAATAACTAACATCGCAACTGACCTATTTTCAGAGTATTCACTAGACCAAAAGCAAAAAGATCATAAACAGAACCCTAAACAAACTACCTAAAATCTATGAAAAAAAATTGACCTCCTCTTAACAATCATAAATATAAGCATAAATATAAATAAATATAAGCAACTCCCCACACACTCATCTGCACAACCCACCTTGCCCAAGAGCGGAAGTTCGACAGAGCCCCAGGTGTCTGCAGCCCAGTGGACGAGGCCAGAGGCGAAGTCCGCGGTGAAGATCCCTGCTAACGCGACAAGGAAGATGGTCGTCACTTTCTCCACCCTGAAGTGCATGGCCATGAAGTACATGTTGACGACCATCAAGGTAATGCAGATGCATATGCAAATGATTTCTTGCATGCGTTTCCCTGGAGAGGAGAAGGGAGAGAAAAGGAACCAAGGTAAGTGAAGGAAAAAAATCAATGAAAATAAATATATGCACAAATAGCTACGAGGAAACTGTTTCAGTTATGCATATTTATGAGTTAATATTCACATCTAGGGTTCCAGTTATTAAGATAGGATGTCTTTTTCTTTTAAGTTATATGAAGAGTAAATACTTTCTTCCTTTATGAAATAATATTACTCTTTTTAAGCATTTACATTTTCTATCTAAGAGTCAAAAACAGCTTTACAAAATCTACAAAAGTCATATCTTAAAAAAAGTAAAAAATAAAAGCAACCTATCATTACTTTTCAAACATACAAATTAATGCAAGCAGAACATTGCAATACTGCATTCACTGTATGCACTACAGAGTTAATGAAGTTATCTTTGTTAAATATGAACTGACAAAGCTATATGACAGAACTTGCTAAATAAAGCATCACATCTGCTATGGCACTTAAAAGCAAAAACAAGCTTTATTAGCCGTTGATCACACAATATAACGGAACAAAAATTAAAAGACAGCAAGTTTCCAGAAAATCATATTACTTGGAAGTTGGACTTATGGAATTTTATGGCATAATTTCATAACAGCATTGTAATGAACACAATGAAAGCGCACAGTTCAGTTTGTGGGATGACCGATAAGTTATATTACCAGATATTAGAAAAAAAAAAAGACAGAGAAAGAGAAACAAAAGACAAGACCATCTTTAAACAAAGAAAATACTCATATTTATGATTAGTCATTTATTTATTTTCTGACATTTTTC